GTGGAGATGTGTTGCTGCCTCAGAGCCTAACAATGTGGTAGTATTGAAGGAACTATGAATTCTGTTGAGTATCAGAGAATTCTTAGGGAGAGTGTCTGTTTACCTGTCTTTGAACTAAAGCTGAAGCATAATCGAGCTACGTGGCAAGACAATGATCCTAAACAGATAAGAAAAGTCCTCATCTTAATGGCTGAAAAGAAACAAAATTTTATAGTTGTCCTGTCAAAGTCTTGGCTTGAACCCAAAGGAGTTGTTGTGGGCCTCAAATGATGCTCAAAGGTAGCTCAAATAAGGTTATGTTCACACAGCAGGTAAAAGTGGGCCAAATACGATCTGTTTCTTCATGTGTGACACAGATATGTTATCTGTGAGTCAGTGTGAACAGCAAAAAATGCAATGAATCTGACATTTTCAATTCCAATTTGAGACATTTTCATATGTGGCACTGATACATATCTGATATGCAGCAATGCGACTCTGAACAGCCAGATCGGAATTCATGCAACTTTTATGTCATTCCAACTCAGCATTCGTCATAATTTTGCACTGCTGAGACCTCATAAACATTTAGGCTGATGTTTCTGTAGAGAAAAATTAGAAGGCACTTATCACAGCCGCCCACTGTTCGAAGAGCATGAAGCAACATGAAGCATTCTTTTGCACATGCGGGTCAGTTCAGGAGTGTGATCTGTTTAGACTATTGTCGCATAAAAGTCACATTTAAAAGTGAACAGCCAAACAAAAAAAATCAGATTTGGTGATAAAATCAGATTTGGGCCACTTCTACCTGCTGTGTGAACGTAGCCTAGAGGTTCAAGTTCTTCCACTTTAATAAAGCTGATATAATGGGAAATGCTGGTTGCAGTTTTTGCCTAAAGGGGGCAATTACTGTTTCTACTTTAGTAAAGCACGTTTTGGACACCAAGTGTTGTCAGTAACACCTGAAGAGTTTATTTGCAAAAAATAATAAGAGCCGAGCCATCCTTTAAAAAAACGAGCTGTCGTGAGTTATTCTTAACACACAGCACATTCTGAACCCTAAATATGTTTTGTCACGAAAACCATAATTGTCCATTGTCAAGGCGTTGCAAGGTCATGTTTTACAGCAGAAACAGTCAAGCGCCAGTGCTGTTCTTGAGCAGAATCTGTTAAATCAGTTCAGCGAATCAGTGCGCTGTATTCGGGTCAGGTGACACAGCACTGCCGTGAACTGTTTTAGGCATTCTCAAATGTCTCCCTCTCCCTGCAAAGTGCAGCATGTAGGTCTTAAAATAACAGCTACTGAATCTAAACAGAGCACAGTGCATCTAACAAAGGACCACTTTGGGTTCAGTCATGTGTGCACAATTCATACTGGACATAAAGTGCAATATTTGGGTGTAAAAGCCAAGATTTCTGGACTCACATAGTGCACTATATAGGGAGCAGTGAGCCATTTGAGATTCAGCCTTAGGATTTACTGAGGTATAATCTTATCGATGTTTAATATTTCCCATTAATGGGCTGTTCTTGTTGCAATTTTCAGCACTTTACCTACTTGTTTTATGTTAAAAGATGTTAAATATTGCATTTAAAAGAAGCTTGTATCCATTATCCATTTGTGTCCCGTTGTTTAACTCTAAAACATAAAATGACCATTGGAGTGATCTGCTTTTGCCAACAAACTAAATTGAAATTAATAAATTCAATAAAGTTTCATTTTGTAAGTTACCTGAATTTTGTTACTTTTACTTCATCAAAACAACCCAACTACAGTTTAATCAATATTATCTGGAATGCGCAATAAAAACTATTTAATAAAACATTAAAATAGAGATACCTGTTTTTGCAAATGAACTCTTCCCTTTCTTTTAACAGTCCCTTAAGTTCTAGGTATTAACTAGATACATGTAAGATGCAAACTCCACAGTACTGTGCAGGTATTGTGGGTAAAAAGTATTGGATCATTATATGCCATAAGAGATTGTACACTAATAATGCCCAAATAGTCTTACATACAATGTTCCTGTTTATGAGCTATAAATGAAACTGAATCTGGGCTGTGGAAGACAGCAGTGATTCTTACTACAGTCTAACTGTTTCTGATTTACTTTCCTACTTAAATATGTGACAGTGACATTAAATGTTTGACAACCATACAGCTTCAAATTATTATTAGATATTTTACTATGGACATATGTGCTTAATAGCTAGAACCTGTTGACCATTCCAGTGTAATTTAGTTTTACTGTCTTTGTACGTACTACCATTTATCCAGAACGATTACATAGCACACTGAAATCGTACCACACACTTACTCAGGTAATATCTAGAACCTGTTTGGTATTATAGTGTAAGTTAGTCAGACTGTCTTGGAATTTTACCATCACTTTACCTCATACTTATCTGATTAATACTTAAGTGACTGTAAAGGAAAGCAGTACCACTTTGAGGGGGAAATTTGCAAAAACTAATGTTCTGATTAAGATAAAGTGCCTGTTGAACTTCTAGTTTCAAAATCAGAACCTCTTATTTTGCCTTGGTGAGTCACACATGTATGATGTGTAACGTACTGAACAGATCAGATAAGCAGACAGACTGTTAACTAGTATTTAGCTAAGAGGAAATTAAAATAAAATAACAATACATAGAATAAAGAGTAATAAATATTATTATGTTAATATTATTTCCTTTGAGGGTTACAGCTTTTTGGTGTTGTGTGAGTGAGTGCACTGTACGAGAGATCCTGCTTGTCACAAAATGTTTCCTCGACCGCACCCACCAAATCCCTAAGACATCGTTCATATGTCTGGGACCCACGTGTGTGTGTGTGTGTGTGTTTGCGTGTGTGTGTGTGGTCAAGGCTGCGTTGGCTTATTTGTACTAACCCTTTGTAACGTGTGTGTTTGTGTGTGTGTGTTTGCCTATGTGTGTGTGTGTGTGTGTGTGTGTTTCTCTCTCTTTCTGTCTGTTTTCGATTTACTCAGCAGTCGGCTGGCCCAGGGAGAAGGTGCCCAATGGGACGACCCTGAGGCCGGCTCAGTAGCCAATCACAAGCCGGCGTCCCGCCACTTCTACCCAATCGCTCTCCTGCTTGTTAGCTCACACCTGCTGGTGGTGTGGCTCATTTTAAGTCTTGTTTTTCTGCTTGCAAAATATCAATAAACCGCTGATTATACCATAACCTTACTTGTGCTGTCTTAACTTTCTTCCTGCGGCTGCTAAAGCTCTAACTGTCTCCTCGCACCACCTCTGGACTAAGCTTACTCACATGTACTTTCTCACTGCAGTAATCCTCTTAACAAATACCCCTCAGGTGCATTTCTTTGTTTCTTTTTCCCCACTTTAATCTGTAGATACAATTGTTGCACATTTGGAAGTGACTCATCATCTCTGGTGTAGAATATGAGGATACAGTAGTAAACCGGTTTAATGGTGCTTTTAGGCGGTCCTCCTAAACTTGTGAACCAAGGAAATTGTACTGGAACTGTTCGCAGAGTCAAAAAAAAAATACCAGTGGGAGACTAGACTGGCATTAGTCAATATTGGTCCTGTGATAAATTTACTAGGTGCCATTGACCACCCTAATGCAAACCGCAAAAACTGGGAGTTAGAATTTAGTTAATTGGCAGTTGTAAGCTGATGGTTTATAAGTTGCACCATTTGTTTCAGCCTCAGAAGCTCTGCTCACAGATGGTACAAAGTCTAACACTGTGCATTGATAAAACCAGAATGCTCCCTCTATAATCAGCCAAGCTGTCTAAACCAGCTGTGAATGTCACACCATTTGTATCTATTTTTCACATTTTGCATCATGCTTATACTTTCAAAACGGAGTACTGGCCAAACATCAGTGAGGAGAAAATAATGAATGAGGTGGAGAACAGAGAGCCATAGGCCCTTCTTCAGATTTTTAGGCTAACGACAAAAATTTGACTGTTTGCAGGGCAATGGTGTGTTTGTAGTGCCTGTGTCTTTTTTTTGTTCGTTTGTTTGTTTTTTTGCCGTCTGCTGTAATCTACTGATATTGCATTTACATATATTACACAAATATAAAATGAGTAGCTACAATTCTTAATTTTAAAAATTCAACAGTTTTAGCTGAAGTCTCAAACTACTAAATGATAGGTCTGTACTTCATTTACATTTTGCTGCGGTTTTTAAAGATTTTTAGATAATTTAGTTGCTGGTCAAAGGGATCCTCACAGTCACACCACCTTGTTTCTCACAGGTCTGTTTTTGCTGTAGCACCATTATGACAGTCTGCCCCTACACGTCACTCAAAAACAGCAGTTTGTGGTTGGTTGCTTACCCTTTCTATCAAAGTAGGGAGGATCTTGGCCACATTGAGCGACGAAACACACCAGACTCATGCTCTTGTTTATTAGTTTGGGAAAATATTAGCTTTGAAGTTACTGGTACAAATATGAATTCGGGACGTGTGCTCTGCAGGACGTGGTTTAAACTCGCGTTTTAATTTTCCTTTGCCTAATTTTATTCTGCTTCTCACAATATGAGCGTTTTATGACACTTTATTTTAAGCACCATTGTCTGCAGGAGGGTGGAGTTAATACTGAACCACATTGCAGTGGCATCTGTTCATGAAATCAAGAGAAGGTTCCAGTTTTCATTCAGCAGTGCTCACTTCTGGACACTTACTGGAAAAAAAGAAACACAACAAATGTGTCTAAAAAAGGGCAAAACATCTTGCAGGGTATTAGATTAACTGAAGAATGTGAAAGTGTTCAGTTTGTGGTGTTACTTGAAGTCAGAATGTCTCAAATAAGCTTATGAAGAAAGCTGGGTACGAGTCTTGCAGAGAGACATGAGATTTATCGCTAATATTCAAGTCATGGTCACTTACTGAGATGCTTTTTTGTGTGTTGTTTTTGGCTCGCTGTGCTGCAGCCACTTCATTGTCCATCAGTGCACATGATCACCGCCACTCCCATGCTGTCATAAATCCATTATCATCCTTGCCTTTCCCTTCTCTCCCTCTCTCTCCATCTCCCTGTAATCAGAGAAGGCTGCCGGATTGAGAACGTGCAAAAGAATATAAAATGCAGGAAGTATGCTTTTAACATGCTGCAGCTGATGGCCTTCCCCAAGTATTACCGCCCACCGGAGGGGACCTATGGGAAAGTGGACTCATGAGACAAGACATCATGGACTCTTGTTCATCATCTGCTTTATTATTATTATTATTATTATTATTATTATTATTGTTATTGTTGTTGTTATTGTTACTATTATTATTATTCACTCCTGTTCATTTTTTGGAAAATATTTTTTGTGCATTCACAAGTTGTTGAGATGTAAAAATCTAGAAAAAAGTGCATGTATATTTATATATGTTTCTACACTGTGCTTTGCACAGAGTGCAGCAATACAACTGTAATAAGTGTTATTTACTCATTAAAGGTTAAACATTATTTTTAAGCTTGTTTTTAGTATGGTGTTTAGAGTATCTGTATTTTATGCTTTTTATTATTCTATAAGATGTGTTTATATAGAAAAAAAGCCATGTACAGGATTGGCCTGTTATTTAAATGGTCACTGTTAGATAAAAGGGCCAGTCATCATGTGAGCCCATTCATGATCTTATAATGAGCTGTCTAGCAAACGCTTGTGAAAAATTTGGCTAAATCTGCTGTTTAAAGGCTCCACCCAAGGTTTTCCATCCAAGATCCTCCCAGAATTCCGCTACTCTGGCACCTTTTAATGTTCAGTGTAACAACATGAGCAAAATGTCTTGCTGGGTAGCAAAACAGTGTCTGTAACTATAGAAGCCTTTTTTAATATGGAGCAATGCTGTAATACGTGCAGAATGCCTACCCTGAAAAAGACGTCGTCTGGATGGCATTTCCTCCACTACTGATCAACCCCTGCTTTGAGCTCCACCTCCACAAGAAGTTGATTTGGTTTAATAATTTGAAACTCCCACCCAAAGTCTACATTCCCACCCAGACTTAAGCCAAAATGCTTCGCGCTTGCTTTCAGGCATGTATTCTTGTTATGAGATCACACATGAAAATGTAGATATATTATAAGCCTGCCATTTTTATGAGATGTTGAAAGGGTAATACTGCTTTGTGATGGCTTCTTCCTCAAATTGCTGCTCTCTTGCAGCTCATGTTCATGTGCTCTTTCTGAGACGCTTCAGGCTTGGCGTGTCTGCTTCTGTACAGTATTTTGTACTTTTGATTTCTTCTTCAGTGGAGGTCAAAGATCACTACACTTCAGACCGCTTGCATTCACGTTTGAGCCAAAGCTTTTGTATGTGTTGAACATGATTCATGCTTTGAGGCAGGGACATGCTCCTTTGCCCTCTGACTGTACAAGTATCCTCTTGGTCAGCATGTATAATATTTGTGGTTATATGTCCGTTCTTCAAGATCCTTTTCAGTGAGGCTGAACCTCCAGGGAATAGAGCATGTGGAACAGCTTGGGTTCCTCCAGCATCATCGCTTCTGGGAAACTAATGGCTTGCTAACCAAGCTTGTGTTATTGTAAAAATTAGGGATTTATGAGGCCCTGTGGAGCTCTTAGAGTTATAACACAGTGGTTCATAGTAATAGTGGGTAGGAAAACTACATTTGGTTTCCTCTGCAATCTGATTGGCACTGTCTCTGTCAATAAGAGTCTTACCGAGACCACACCCCAACAAAAAAAAACGTGGTAGCACTTTCTATGAATACCATATGTATGAGCATCTATAAACACATTTATAACATGTAATAATGCATTTATTAGGCATTATAAACATGGATATAAATATTTATAAAAAATGAATCACACTTTAGTGCCATGTTTTTTTATGCATTGTGAATAGCTAACATAATGCATTATAAGTATTTATAACATGTTATAATGTCAGTGCCAAAGAAGTCAGCCCAGTTTGCAGAGGGTAAAGTGAGTTTATTTACACCATTTCCAATATTCTGTTTCTCACTATGGGTGTTATTAGGGCTACACCTTTTGGATTTAAGTCTTTAATATTCAGATGCCAGCTCCAAACAACCTGTTCAGCCCAGAAGTATTATTACAAAGCACTCTTCCTAACCACCTCTCTGACTTCAAAAATTACACATCACAGCAAACCAGGTACCCATCAGGCCCCTCGCCCCACATCAGACTGAGAATGAAGTTGCTGTGGAACAAAGACATGGAGAGTAAGAGGCAAGTTACTAGAGTGCTATCATTGTGATCTGTTCTCTCAATGGTTCTAACATTAACCACTAGAAACCACTTTGTAACATCACTGCACTGTTGTAATGCTCAGTTTTTAATAGCATTCTATTGGATGTGCAATGTTAAGTTAGCACCAAGCTAAAAGTGGTGTGTACATTGGCTTTTCCACGTTGGGTAAAATAATACTGATGGCACCATAAGATCTGACATTTGAAGCTTGTAATGTGCTTTATGTTATATGTTGCAGTGTTTCAATAAATCCTTCAGTAAATACTTCAACCTTAATGCTTCACTAATTTAATACTGGAGGAGGCTTTAGTGTAGTCTGCCTCACTTTACTTAAAGCTGACAAATACAACTTACAAGCTCTTAAAACTCATTATGAACTCTGCTTACAATGCGTTATGTAAACAATTCAATGTATAATAAGCGTGGTAATAAACTGTAATGCATTTTTATATATAGTTATAACCATGTTTATGATGCCTTATTAATGCATTATAATGTGAATGTGGCCATAGGTTTTTATACACATGGTAACCATAAAAAGTGTTACTACAAATAGTAATAAAATATATAAATGTATGTGTAAGTAAAAAAAAAAGTCTATATATTTTACCCTTACTTTTAATATGTAATTGAATGTTCTAAATTACAAGTGTTCTATTGTGATTTACAGAAGCCCCACAGGACCACCACAGAGCAGGTATTATTTGGGTGGTGGATCATTCTCAGCATTACAGTGACACTGGCATGGTGGTGGTGTGTTAGTGTGTGTTGTGCTGGTACAAGTGGATCAGACACAGCAGTGCTGCTGGAGTTTTTAAACTGTGTCCTTTCACTGTCCACTCTAGTAGACACTCCTACCTTGTTGGTCCACCTTGTAGATGTAAGGTCAGAGACAGTAGCACAGTTTGCGTTGGTCATCCTCTAGTCCTTCATCAGTGGTCACAGGACGCTGTTGGCTGGATATTTTTGGTTGGTTGTCCATTCTCAGTCCAGCAGTGACACTGAGGTGTTTTTAAAAACTCCAGCAGCACTGCTGTGTCTGATCCACTCAGACCAGCACAACCCTGAAAAAGACGTCGTCTGGATGGGTTGATCAGTAGTGGATTTCCTCCACTACTGATCAACCCCTGCTTTGAGCTCCACCTCCACAAGGAGGCTTTCAGACACAAAATTTGAATGCATGTACAGAAAATGAAATGAGATAAAAATGTAAGTATATTATAAGCCTGCCATTTTTGTGAGATGTTGAAGGGTAATACTGCTTTGTGATGGCTTCTTCCTCAAATTGCTGCTCTCTTGCCGCTCATGTTCATGTGCTCTTTCTAAGACGCTTCAGGCTTGGCGTGTCTGCTTCTGTATTTTGTACTTTTTTCTTCTTCAGTGGAGGTCAAAGATCACTACACTTCAGACCGCTTGCATTCAACACACACTAACACACCACCACCACATCAGTGTCACTGCAGTGCTGAGAATGATCCACCCCCCAAATAGTCCCTGCTCAGTGGGGGTCCTGAAGAACAGGGTAAAAGGGGGCTGACAAAGTATGCAGAGAATCAGATAGACTACAGTGCACCAATATGGTAAGTGGAGCTGGTAAAATGGACAAAGAGTGTATATTCAAGGAGGTGTACTTAATGAAGAGATGGGATGCTTTATATAACAGCACTAATTCTTCAACTCTTTATTTTTTTTTCTAGATGTGTCATCCAGTAAGCTGTTGTGTTAGTCACTTTGATTTCTATGGTTACAGCACTGATGCAGATTTCTTTCTGAGACTTCCTTCCAGCATTCCATGTTTAAAATCCCTAAAAACACGTCTTTCAGGCCCTGAGTGGACCCATGCGTGATTGCACTTCTAATGTGTGATAGGTTGTACTGTATTGGATTTCCAAAGGGAATTTGAAATGCTGTACTGTGAGATGTGCATACCATACAGTATAAACCAGGCGTGAAAAGATCAGCTTACTTTCAAATTCCAAAAGCTTCTGTTCTAAATCGAACATGGTGGTGTATCGTAATCTGACACTTTGTTTGGAGCACTAAGATCTGACCACTCTAATCTCATCACAGTGCCATAAAAGAAAAGTTCTTGCCCCCTTCCTGATTTCATTGTTGAATATTGTCCTACTGAATGGTTTCAGATATTTGGACAAAATGGAATATTAGACAAAAAATAATATTAATAATAAAGTCCCTAAAATCACAGGCTAAGGCTAATTATTCAGTAACTACAGGGACTTCAGAGCAAACCTGGCTGAGCTATTCTTGTAGGTTGTAGAAATGTGTAGTAAAACTGTGGTCACGCTGCTGGGCTGATTAAGGGGTTAAGGGAGAGCATTTCCAGCATTAATATCATCCATGTGGAAAAAGTAAGCATCCGTCAGACTTAATAACTTGCACAACCCTTAAGAAGCATAGACATAGTAATTTGACATCTGATGTACATTACTGAGGAGGAATTCTAGCCCAGTCACCTTCACAGGCCAGCTTTGATTCAGACAAATGCTTTTCTTTTCTGCCATTCAAATACAGATTTAGTCTTGTGTTTTGGATCTTTTACTCCATGCATGAGCCAGGTACACTTAAAAGTGAAACTAAAGGGCTGTTTCTTGTTTCATCATGCAGTATAGTTTGATTTTATATTATTTTGATTTATCAATGTTTTGTCACTACAATACCCGGAATGCATTACACAAACACATCATGCAGCCATTAGAAATTCCTGTGGTATTGACCAATCCTGACTGCTAGCCTAGTCACCGATCTTTAGGCCAATGAATATAGCCAAGCCAGCCTTAGAGTAACTCTTACCTTAATCACTGAACAAAATCGTAAAGATCATCAGACCAGGCTACATTTTTCCAGCTGTCCAGGCTTGGAGTTTTGGTGAGCCTATTGATCCTGAAGGAAAGCATTGCAGCATTACAGTAGCAAGACATAGAATTATAAAAGACATAAATTAGAGTAAAATGTGAGGGATTAGGAAGAAGTCTATCTGTAAGCATATTTACATAAGCATATAAGACAGTTGGTTGCATTTACATGAGAGCAGGTAATGCACTAAATGGTATGATGTTAAAAACACAATGAGTGTAAACATTCTAGGTGTAGCAGCAGCATTTGAAGAGTTCACTTGCAAATACTACATCTCCATTTTAAATAAACTTTAATTAATCCTGTTTTTTTATTGTGCATTCTAGGTAATATCAATCAAACTGCAGTCAACAAAATA